GAGACTGACAGGTGAGCACAGCCTTGCCAGCAGAGCTGGACATCCTGCAGCCCACGCCTTCAAGAAGGGGCAGAGGTGACCAGGCATCCATGCCCTCGTCTTCCTCCTTAGCCTCCCCCACGGCAGCTTCCTCATTGGACTGGATTCTGCATTTCTCAGGCCTTAAAATTATTAATGTACTTCCTGTCTAGTTCTATACACCCATGGTTGTTGACATGTGGCATTATTTTTGCATTCTGGCAAGATGAAAGCTGATTACATCAGGTGACCTGCCATTGGGTCAAGGTTCCCACAGAGGTGTCTGCTCCTGGGACTCACAGCCCCAGGTGTTCTGGAAGCTTACCTTCGATCTTTGTCTTGAAGTGAGGGTACTTGTTGAGAATCTCCACCTGCTTCCTCCAGTCAAACTCATTCCGCCAGTAGGACAGGACTTTCTTCAGGTAGTTGGAGTTGAACCCGTAATGGAAGCGACTGTCCTCCAGAGGTGCGGTCCAGCGGAAGTTATCGATCCTCTGGTGTAGGTCCTGGAGTGAGGAGAGGACGGGTGACCAGAGCCCAAGAGAGAGCTTGTTTCCACAATGGAGAGCGCGGCCTGCAGGATAAGGTGCTGCACACCTTCACCATGGCAGCCAAACAAACCTTGTGACTGTGCCCAGGTTGTGCCTGTTCTTCACTGCAGAACCTCTCTCTCTCTCTCTCTCTCTCTCTGCAGCACTAGAGTTTGAACTCAGGGTTTCATGGGGCCTCAGTTGGGGAAGTTCACGTTCGCTCACTGAGTGGCCCATGTCCCCTTTCCCAGACATTCGTCCCGAGTGCTTTGGCCAACCCCAAGCACATTTGGGAAATCTTAGACTTTTTTAGAGTCCTGTAGAATCCTCTACAGGAATAACCCTCAGAGCTCAGCTTCCACCATCAATACCGAAGCCCTAGAAGTCCTCACACGGGGGCCTCAGCCTGCTGTCTCTTGGGCTTAGGCCAGCTTCTATTTTGAAATCCCTTCCTCCTCTCAACTCTTGTGATCCTTTACCACTCGCTCTTCTGATCTCTGGGTTAATTGCCTTCGTGCGTGACCCTTCCTCACCTCAGCATGGTAGCTCTCTGAGGGAAGGGACTTGTCTTCTCTCAAGACTCAGAAGACTGCTGCACCCAGGAGGTGCACAGGCACCCCAGAGCAAAGGAAGAATGGGCAGGGCTGTGCCAGGTCAGGCCGCCCCTCTCCCCCCGCCAGCCCTGTTCAAGCCTCTCTCCTCCACGAGGCTCCTCCTCTATGCTCCCACACCACTGGACACCTCCTTCCTGTCTCCATCTCTGTGTGGAGGAAGGGGCAGTGGCCTTTGAGTTAGACTTGAGCTCAAACCCTTTGGCTTGTAGTCTTGGACTCCTGTCCTCCAGACAAACTGGTGTGCCTCTCTGCACTTCAGTTCCCACTCTGTGAGCTCGCAGCACCAGACAACCCTGACAGGGAAAGAATGGGCCCAGGAGTAGCTAATGCACAGTAGGTGCTACAAAGCACTGGCCCTACCATATTTCCTAGGGCACCACCTCACTGCATGCAGGGCCTACACCTGGGCCCCAGGGGCACCTGCTCTCTGTCTCGGGGGACAGGCAGGGGTGGACGCAGTTGCTTTCTGTGACCTGTGGTGCACACAGGGGTGCAGCTGGCAGCCCCCTCCTCCTGGGCACTGCTGGGCTTTGGCAATGGGAAGGTACAGGTGGGTTGGGGTGAGGGAGCTGCACCCACCCTGTGGGAGAAGAGCAGACAGGAGGAAGCACCCAAGAAGGCTCTCTTCCTAAGCCCCTGCCTCCACCTGAGCCAGCTCCAGCATGGTTGGGGACCACAGCAGGACGCACCCACCTGCCTCTGCAGCCCACCTGGGAAAAGGGGTCTTACCTTGATCTCCTCATCTGACGTTTCCACCTTGAAGGGGCGGATGCTCTCGTCCTCCCTGGCTGTGGGCTTTGCCCCGGGCCCCCACCACCCATCTTCAAGTGCCAAAGTTTCCTCCTTGTTCCAGGAGATATACCGGTAGATGAGAAAGCCCAGCACTGAGGCGAGGAGAATTTCCAGAAACATGATTCCTGCAACGAGAAGGAAAAGCTATCAACAAGAGATCACCAGCCAGGACTTGGTGTTTCCTACAGGCTACTCCCAGATCCCTCCCCACCCGATACCTGGCTTCATTCATATTTGTTCTGTGAAAGAAATGTGAAAGTTGCCAGAATCAAAATGGAGTTGCTTGTGCCAGCCTGATCAGAAAACCTACAGAAAGCCTGAAGCCCAGTTTATGAAAAAAGGGTTCTTTTGCACAACTCATGATAACTGCCATGAGACTGCCAAAGCCACAAGCCTGCCCAGAGGCCACAGGACCTTCTACAAAAGTGCTTCTACAGACACCTGAATGGACACTGTCCCTTCAACTGCAGACTGAGGCCTCTTTCCGTATAAATCCGTTGTCCTAGGATTATTGTGTCAAAACATCTGATGTCATGTTTCTTTGTTAGTGAATTTGCTTTTGGTGCTGGGAACACAACCCAGGGCTTGTACATGCAAGGGAAGACTCCACACTGAGCCACCCCCAGTCCACACTCCTTATTTCTGCCTTTAAGAATCTCTCCTTTCCTCAGTCTCTTTGAATACACCATGGTTTACTATGGCATGTTCTCTGCTACTTCTAAATAAATATCAGTATTCTTTGGAAAATCTCTGGTTTGTTTATTGTTTGAGACAGGGAATGGCTATGTTGTCTAGGCTGGTTTAGAATTCCTGGACTCAATCAATCCTCCTGTCTCAGCCTCCCTGGCACCTGCGACTATAGGCATGTGTCACCATGTCTGGCTGATTGCTTTGTCATTTAGGTGGATAGTCCTGTTATAAATTATATATATATAACAGAAAAATTGGAAAACAATAGAGAGAGAAAATCATCCATATCCCACTAAGCTATGAACATTGTAACCACAGTGGGAACACACAAGTGTGGTCAGCTCTTGCCCAGCCTGGGAGGCTGCTGGAGGCTGCACTTCTGAGGCCTGGTGCTTCTGGGCATTCTAGTATCTCTGTTCAGGTTTCTCTCCATGCCTCTTGCCTCTCTTGCTGGACAGCCAATGGCTCTTCTGAGTTTGGAGGCAGAGGGATGGGGTATGAGGCTTGGCTTGTGTGGCTTGGCCCCTTGCTCTCTCTTTGAGAGGGGGCTGTCCTCATGGTGGACAAAGGCTAGGAAGGAGGTCAGAAGGGCTGGGAAATTAAGTTAGGTGGGGTGGGGATATGGTAGTGTGGCCAACTGTGGCCACACATTTTACCTACCTGCATGTTTAACAGCTTTATTGAAATTTAATTCATACTATCAATACAATAGCATTTATGTTATTATAATTTGCCCACTCCAAGTGGGCTTGAGTGTATTCACAGGTATGTGCAAACCAAAACAAAGCCAAATTTAGGACATTCCATCACCACAAAGAGGTGCACACTCCTCCGTCACCCCACCCTCCCTGGGGAACAACCAACCCACTTGGCATGGCTACAGACTTGTTCCATTTCATGTAAACTCAGCTGTGCTCTAATCCCCTTTGTCTGACTCAGTGCCTTTTTTTCTCAGAAGGGGAAGAAAGAACTTGGTCTGTTCTGACCAGTACCAGGAAGACACCAGCCCAGCACTGGGCTGGCTCCCTGTCTCCCATCTCCCCAGGAAAGCAGCTCACAGCACTTTCAGGAATGCCATCCTCAGCCCGAGGCCCAAGGCAGGAGGAGACTGTGCTGGGAAACACCACTGTGCGCTCTGTTTGCTACGTTAGATGTTCAGCATCTGGCTGGGCGTTTGCAGAGGCTCCAGGCCTGCTCCTACCAAGAGCTGCCCTTTAAGCTGAGAACTGGGCCACAGGAGCCAATCCAGAGATACTGGTCCATGAGAGCCGGAGCTTCTGCAGAGACTCAGCCAGGCTTGGGTCACCTGCCTCCTGCTGCCCAGTGGGAATCTAACGTGGAAACTGGTTGTTTGGGGCAGGGAACCCCACTTCCATCCTCCAACCTGGAGCCACCTCTGATCCTTCTTTCCCACCCATTCATCTATCACCAGGCACAGGCACTATGCAGCCCTCCATGCCCAACCTCAACCTGACCAGAGACCTCATCACCCCAAATTTCAACTGCGACGGCACCCCAAACCTCACCAGTCAGAGGCACCGGCGCACTTCTTAGGACCCCTGCAGCCATCTCTGGAAGCGTACCCTGGGGACCCAGACTTCAACTTCAACTGCTCCCTCTGAATGGCTCAGGTCTCAGTGACTTGCTCACCCCACACACAGATGTGGATGGTAGTGTTGGCATGCATTCTACCACCAGCCTCCACGGGCCAGGCTTTCAACTTTCAATCCCAGGCTCCACCAGTGTCTGTCCCCAGGTTCCTTGAGTGTGACAGCTGATCAGACAGGCGTCTGGGACCAGCATTCCTTCCATTAAAGAAGGCCAGAAAGCTGGCGCCAGTGGTTCCTGTCTGTAACACAGCTACTCCAAGGCAGAGATCAGGAAATAATTCCAAAATCCCATCTCCAAAATCCCAGCACAAAAGAGGGATGGTGGAGTGTACAAGTGGTAGAGTGCCTGCCTGGCAAGCATGAGACCCTGAATTCAAATCCCAGTATTTCCACACACACCCCTAAAACAAAACAAGGCCAGGATTGGCTGGAGATGAGCTCTGGTTCTGAAGAACTCAGAAAACGTACACAGGCTTCTTGCGTTTCCAGAGAGACCCTGGGAGATCCTGTGCTTTGAGAAGCTGGAGAAGCTGCAGCATCTGTGGCGTTGAAGGGAGGACAAGCTGGGACTGTGGGCGCAGGGGCGCAGGGGGACAGGTGGAGGGCAGAGCTGCCCCAGCCGCTGGGCAGATGTGTGCAGCTCACTGGCCCTGGCCCAACCCATTATAAACCCATTTCCAGAAGGCAACACAGTCTTGGTCCTTGTCCCAAGCTCTAGTGCTGAGAACCACAGGCGCACAGAGAAGTGCCGTGACAAAGTTTGTAGCAGTGGTGGCGCAGCACTGCAAGCAGGTAAGACGAAGTTTGCATGTGGCTAGCAAGGCAGCTGCAAGCACAGTGAACACTGAGCCAGGGTCACCTCCCAGGTGACTTGACACTCAGCCTTCCTTACCTAACTTGAGCAGGAAGAGCCCAAGAGCACTGCTGCAAGCCCTCCTAGGCCATAAATGCCCGGCTTTCCCTTTTCTGCTTCCTCTGTCCACCGGGCTCCAAGTCCTCACCCTTGGGTCTCCTCTCTGACAGCAGAGCTGTGCAGCTCCACACACAGTGACACTTTAGAGCCTGTGGGAGAGGCGGGGCAGCCGCAGGAGTGCGTCCCGCCCACCCGAGGCCCCTGCCTACACTTGCACTGTCGTGATGACTCAGCTGATCTGGTATGTACACAGTGTGGTCATCGGCCCTGGACTTGGAACCAGGCTGACCCCAGACAGACTCCTGAAACATCAGCGCCTGAGACCCACCTGAACAAAGGGAGGGCATCCGGGCAAAGGGCTATGATGTGCCTGGGGAAACGGCAGTGGTTCCCCTGTGTGGCTTCAGTTGATGGTCATCTGCGGTCTGCAAGTGTTCAATGGAAGATTTCAGAAATAATTGTTTCCAACTGATTGTGCGAATGGAGTTAGCACGATGAACTCTTCCTTATCCTGATCCATCCTCTACCCCAGGTTGGAAATCACTCTTCATCCAACATAGTCACACTGTATACACTAGGCACTGTCCAGGTATGCTTACTGTACGCACTAGGCTTTGTCTGCGTGTTCTCTTTGAATATACTAGGCATTGTCCACATAGTCACACTGTATACACTATGCATTGTCCACATGCCCTCATTGTATATACCAGGCCATCTCCACATATCCACGCTGTGTACACTAGGCACTGTCCAGTTACGCTTACTGTATACACTAGGCATTGTCCAGGCATTCGGCACTCTCTCAGTTATCGGATGGACTGTCACAGCATCCCAGTGCTCATGTTCAAGTGACTCTTAGTTCATGTAATCATGGTCCCAAAGCACAAGAGCAGTGATGCTGGCAATTTCTTTACAGTATAGTGTTACAAACAGTTGTATTGCTATAGTTGTTACTCTCTCGCTGTGCTGAATTATAAACTAAACTTCATCATAAGTATGTATAGGAAAAACAGTATCTTAATAGGGTCAGTACCATCTCTAGCTAAGGCATCCATGGGTGTCATGGAACATGCACCCCTCCAGCAGGGGGACTATTGTACATCTAGGCCAGAGGGCAAAGTCACAGATTGAAAGGGAAATAGAAAACCTCTATCTCACTGGCAGAATGGCTTAAGTGGTAAAAGCTCTATCTCTTGCATTCTAGTTAAGATAACAAGAATATTAGTACTTGCTCAAAGTGGGTTTTACTGCAGTTCCTTTCCCGCTGAGTAACCTCTGCCCTTTCTTTAACAGCAGGTATTAAATACACACAAAGAAAGGTGTTCCAGATTAGCCCAGAGTAGCCTTGACCTGGTGGTGGTAGTGGTGGAGGGTAGTGGAGGAGTGTGACAATCCATGAGACAGGCAAACTCACCAAGGAGGCACAAGTCATAGAGGACCCAACAGCTCAGGAAGGAAGAGCAAGAATTGAATGGGACTGCATCAAATTAAAAAGCTTCTGCACAGCAAAGGAAATAATCAACAGAGTGAAGACAGCTCACAGAATGGGAGAAAATCCTTACCAGCTATTAACCCGACAGGACTAATACACAAAATATATAAAGAAATGTTAAAAGCTGACAACAAAAGAACAAGTAATCCAGTCAATAACTAGGCAAATGACTGAACAGACACTTTCTCAAAAGAAGTACAAAGAGCCCATAAATATATGAAAAACTGTTCCACGTTTTAGCCATGAGGGAAATGCAAAGCAGAACAGCACTGAGATTCCATCTCACCCCATTGAGAATGGCAATCATCAAGAAAACAGAAAAACAAATGCTGGTGAGGATGAGGGGAAAGGAACTCTACACTGCTGGTGGGACTGTAAATTAGTACTGCCAGGAAGGAAAACAGTATGAGGTTCCTCAAA